TCAAATTTTTAAAAAATATTTTCATCGTTTGGATTCGTATAATAATTGTCTCAAAATTAAATGTTTTTACAAATCATTTCCTTTTATGCATACTTCAAGGTTTATCATGTTATGACATAATTCCTGCTAATATTAAGGTCATTTGGTTTGAATGAAAGTTTCAAATGATTTGTACATCTATTTTGAATCACAAATTCAATTATAGTTAATGTAATTAAATGAATAGAAACCTATCTCTACAGTAATGCTTATGTAATACAATAATACAACCACTTTATAACATAATGAAATTCTTGCCAACAATTGTTTAATGAACTGAAAGTGCGATAAAAAAATTAAAACCAAACTTAATGTTTGCCATTTTGTTTACTTGATGTTTTGATCATTGAATTATAAATCAAATAATTAGTTCAATAGTTTGCATAAAAGGAAATGATTTGTAAAAACATTTAATTTTGAGACAATTATTATACGAATCCAAACGATGAAAATATTTTTTGAAAATTTGATGATTTTGTGATGAATTCATTAAAATATTTATTAAAAATTAGTTTATTTGTTAGAAAAAACAGTGAATTATTTAACAAATCTTATATTCTTCCTGTTATTTGTTTATCTGATGTAATGAATTCTCTAAACATTCCTCGATGTAAATAACAAAACATTATTGATTTAAATAATATTCTCATTACATTATTTAAATTAATTTAGTAAATAAATCAATAAATTTTATTAGGCATAATTATTAAAACTTGTTACACATTATTGAAATAGTTGGCAACTAGTTTTAATAATGCATTATAATTTCTATTAAAAGTTTTATTGTATGTACTTTTATTATTAAATGCCACTATAAAATGTGCCAGATTTCATATTTCTATTTTATAGGCTTTAAATAATTTAAATTTTAAAGTTTAAATTGAGATGAAATATTTTATAAATAAATTTAAGTAATTTAATTAATAAAAATATAAAATACAAATCTATGTCATTAATGGTATATTATATTCCGGTAATACATTAGTGTATAATAAAATGTTAGATATTTCATACTATAATGAAATTATTATAACAAGAAACTAAACGTTGAACCGAAAAAACTGTTGACACAATTTGCTCCCTATTTGCCCCCTGACCTCAATTTGCCCACAACTCAGTCCAACAACACATGCATTCATTACAAAACACTGCTAAACACCGAAACTATCCTTTTATTTCCTAATCAAATAAATATTACTTTTAGATGTTTTAATTGACATAAACTCCAAACTCTGGCCTGAATTTCATTCATAAACTATTTTGATTTCAATTATTAATTTCATAGTAATTGGAAAAATATAAAGTTTTAATCAATTGATTTCGCTTCAGAGAAATATTGTGATAATTTTAATTGTAATGTGTTTTCAATAGAATATTTTGGCACAAAATATACAGACAGCAAAATTTGAACACAATTTGAACAATACAAATTTAATTATTTCAAATATGATTTAACCTAAACTAGATTATATTAATTATTTGATTAAAGTATACTAAACCGGGTATTTAAAAAAATAAAATAAATGTTCAATGCGGTAATTATTTACATATGTATTGTGATTTAAAAAGTATTACAAAATAGGGGAACAAACTATTTTGACTAAAAGTGCCAAAACTTTGAGCGAATACTATATTAAACATTGAATTAAAAAAATAAAAAGAAAATAGTAAAAATATGAGTGAAAGTCATCGCAATTTATTTTCATTGAAAAATCGGAGTCACATCTGATGTTTGACATAATATAACAAATTTTCATTATATTATAAAATAACACAACAGTTAAGTTGCAGTTTGCAGGTGTGCCCTCATAACCATTTGCATCCATAACATTAAACCAATCAATACAGTCGACACCAAATACCTATCAATTGATACAATTTTTTCACGTTTATCTCGTCTATAGCTATAAGAGCTGAAGTTTACATAAAAAGCATAGGTTTTTTCAGTCAATATTTAATGACTTTATATAATAAAATGTTTCGTAAATAAATTAAACAAACGGTTTGTTTGCTAAACACTATTAACTACTGTTTTTATAGTCATGTGTTTTCAATTAGATATCGAAAAGTGAAGTTTGTCTGTATTTTTAAAATTATAAACACATTTTTCTCCTTTTTAAAAGTCGCTCTAATTATTAGCCAAATGCTAATTATTATAACCATTTATTTATCATAAAATCTTATTTTTCCATCAAATTTGTTACTATTTCACTGTTAATATCAAATTATCTGTTGTGTTGAAGAGTATAAAGTTTCTGTGAGTGTTTCGTTCAGACAATGGTTTTTACAACAAATAATATTTCTAATTTAAGTGATAGAAAATTCCCGTAAAATTTCCAGATATTATTTTTCAAAGTATTTATAAAATCTTTTTTGCGATAATAATGTGTGGAATTTAGTGTAATATATAAATATCTTATTTTATTTGTTGAAATACAAAATGATAGTCTGGTTTTAACCAAACATTTATACTGTATATTCAATCACATTTTACTATTGATTTAATTACAAAGTAATTGCAATATTAGAGTTACCATAATATACAGTGCCATACAATAGGAGCGAAAATTAAGTGTAAAATAAAACCTATTTTTAAGTTAAAAGCTATTCTCAAAAAGAAAAAATCGGAGAAAAAAGTTTCAAATCATTTTCAAAGTGAAATATAATTCTTGTTTTCTTTCTCCCGTCGCTTAACTGTGAGCTTAACTTCAAATGTGAACTCAATTTGAAGTGAATGTCATAAAAAAAAGTTGATTAACAAAAAAGTTGTGATTTTTATCACTTATTGCAAAAAGTGTTGAATAAGTGTTTGAAATGGAATTGCAATCAAAGGAAAACATATACCAAAACAATATCGCAATCCTTTCGATGTCTCGAGTGGACGAAGAAAGCGGAAGACCGACCGTTCAGTTCAACCCTCCCTCCCATACCATCAACTCATCAGTTAGTATATAATCTTTTACACTATTATATTGTCTGAAATATTGTTGTAAATTTCTATTCAGTATTTGTTATTTATTATTTAATTTTAAGTTTAAGTGCATGTATAGTGTTTAGCGTATGATAAACTTGTTTCTAACTGTTTAATAATTCAGACATATTTTTTCAACAGATTATATCTTATAAAATATACTTTCCTTTACGACTGATTTTGGTCTTTATTTTTACTAATTTTTATTGATTTATTCAAATATTAATTGAAAAATAAACTATTGATAACTTCTAATATTAGTTTTAAAAATTGTTTATGAAATAAATGATTATAGCATATAATTGATGGCGAAAAGAGATGGTTTAGGATTGGTTTTTATAACTTTGTTATCTCAGCGCTGGTTATAACGAGTTTGTGTGTAATTCTGGGAGTCGTCATCACAACTGTTAAAAACACACGAATCCATCCAAAGGGTGATTCATTCCTCACTTTTGTCTCACAATTTATTGATATTTTATTACAAAAAACACATACTTTTCCAGTCTTCCAGTACTTTATATCGTATTTATTTAACATTATATTATTTATATTAATTATACAAGTATTCTGGCATTTATACACAAGTATTTAGATTCAGTGTAACATGATTTTATTTTAACATATAGAATATTTTTGCATTAATCAAGGTAAATTCATAAGTTCAGTGTAAAATTGTTGATACAGGATAGATTATTTGATGAATATGAGATTTTATTTATGATTTTAAAATTGATAATTCATGAATGATAATGAGAAATCACTTGCAATTATCAGCATTTGCCTCATCTCTTATATCAAATCAAAACGATTTTGATAAGAAACCGATTACATTGAATGATGTATTGGTCGGTAATCTATCGCCACAGCTATTCAACGGCACCTGGATTTTGGATAACATTGTCTTCTATGACGAGGAAACCAATCTCTGCACTCTTCACATCGATTTCAATTCAACACAAAAACACATTTTAGTCCCAAATCATATAATCGTAAGAATACTATCAGTTTATAATAGTTATGCAATTATTGTCAAACAAAAACAAAATTAACACATTTTATTATTTGTTGGATTAGTTGTCAAAACAAATCAACGGAGACCTCCTGTCTAAAGATTTAAAATATTTATTGACTTCATATGAAATGAGCAAAACATTCAGACACTCAACACTTTCCAAATACAAAATCTATGACATTTCAAATGAGTGAGAAATTTATATATTTTAGATGTACAGTAGTTTATTTTAGGCAATATAAATGATGATCATATCTACTGAACAGTTCGTTAACAACGATTGTAATTACAGTTCATTCATAGAATTATTGCCTGAAGATCAACATTTTGGGAACCAATTCATTCAACACATCGAATGGGGACCGAATGGCACACAAATTGTGTTTGTCTTCAAAAACAATCTCTACTATAAGGCCGACGTGAATGCTGTGCCCATACAGTTGACCAATACTGGGGCACAGAATCTCATTTATAATGGATATTGCGATTGGGTTTATGAGGAAGAGATTCTGGAGGAGGAGAAGGCGTTTTGGTTGTCACCGGACGGCAAGCATCTGGTGTTCGCCAAAATCAATGACTCCAAAGTGGACACAATAACGTGGCCTTTCTATGGACAGTACTATAATCTGAGTAGCAATCAGTATCCCTCAGAAGTGGCCCTTAAATACCCGAAACCGGGAAGAAATAACCCGACAATTGAAATATTTGTGTTAAATCTGAACGAATCGGTCGACAATATAGAGCTCGTTCGGCTTCTTCCGCCGGAAACTATTGCCAAACAGTCAGTCCTATTGCTTAGTATTTAATTATTTTTAACATTTATTATATAATATAAAATTAATTGTATAATTGTATACAAAATAATATTTTTTATTTCTTAAAAATGTAGTGATTATTATGTGACAGCCGTTGGATGGATAGATAACGACAGGCTGTCCATCACATGGTTAACGAGAGCACAGAATTACTCTGTTATTGATATTTGTGACAAGAATTTCATGTGGAATTGCAATACTGTATGAAAATTTTATAATTTTATTTACAGTGACTTTTAAAACACTATAATTCACTAATATTTATCAGACATTTACTCTGGAATCGGCCAACAGTTGGGTTGATCTCTATTCGGCTCCCATCCCGGGAGGCCGTGTGTTGAGTATATAATAATTTAATGGCGTTGAGTATTCATGACGTCGGCCTATAATAGTTGTGCACCGAGAGTAATTATAGCTCCACTTATAATGTTTGTTTAATATGAAATTAATGTTGTTATAATTAATTGTTAATATTGTTTGCAGAATCAAGCGGTGAAATATTTGACTAAAGGTATGTTTGATATCATAGAAATCGTGGCATTCAATCCACAAGAAGACATTGTGTAAGTTTTTATGTGCAATATTTTTGTTGTTTCTCTTAATTAGTGTTTTGCTGTTATTAACAAAACAATTGTTTCCAAAAAATAACAGTTACTTTTTGTCGACATTACCCGAAAAGCCAGAGTTTCGTCACTTAATGAGCGTTTCAGTGAACGAGGAGTCAGTTTTGGACCCAATTTGTTGGACCTGTTATTTGGGTCAAAGTTGTCTTTATAACAATGTATTCTTTAATACCAAACGAGACTATTATGTACTGCAATGCGAGGGACCGGACACTCCCAAAGTGGAGATCAGGCGCACGAAAAACAATTCATTAGTGACTGAAT